ATAATATGTGAAATACCTATATAGGTAATGAAGATTAATGATAAAGAAATGAAAAAATCAAAATAAGAATGAATGCTTCCAATCATACTACTTCATGACGTTTCGGTTGTTAATATCCACAATTACCTTAGGTTGATATAACTGATTCAGATTTATATTTATAGTTTACATATTCTTGACCTGAACTCATTATTCAACCCATTTAAATATTCCTTTCTACGTTTGTTTGAAGGTGGTTGACATTGTTTTCACCCGAAGACGACTTGGATACTAACAATCGAAACGTCGTGAAGGAACTTGGCTTGGAATCTTTTAATTTTCATTTCTTGTTAATAATTTTTAATTTTCATCTCGCGTTAATAGCTCAATTTTTCGATATTTTTATTGTTGCTTGTATTTTATTTCATTGTAATTTCAGTTTTTTGCTTGATACAATTGTTATTTGTCAGCTGATTTTTTAAATTTTTTATAAATTCTTTCAAGGATTTCAAATCAATTTACCTATATCATTTATTAGACAATGGAAGTCCGAACTAATGAAATGCATTCATTCCTTTTCACTTAGGTCACAATAAATCAATGATAAATCGACTTACCTTTAAGGAGGAGTGATCTTAATTACATGAGCAGTCTCTTCGAAAGATTATTATTAGTGTGTTATTATTAGTGTGTACTTATTGTTAGTGTGTTTCACCGCACTGTATACGACGTTACAAGTATCATCTTTTCTGTTGGTCACTTTTCATAGTCACTCTTATCAACCCTCTTTCTGAATATTACCCACTAGTTGAAAGTACCTATAGGTACATACCTAGATTGTTAAGAGTTTGAGTATTTGCGGGGAGGTTTATAATCTTTCGTCGAGACTGCTCATATAATTAATATCACTCATCACTTATCAGGATCAGGAGAGACGATTAAACCGACACTTGCTCTAATAGACAAAAGGTGCATTCACAGATACAGCAGAATTCTGCGGCAAAACAAGAACCCCACTTTTCCCGACAATCATCTGCCCCATCGATGAGCAAGGTGGCACAACGCGTCATACTAAAAAGACTTGAGGTCCAGACCAACGAACAGGAAATCCTGTGGGTAGTGACTACGCGACTGAAGGTTTCAACCTGGGCAAAAGATACCACACCGCAGAGATATTCCTAGACGTCACCAAGGCGTTCGATAGAGTCTGGCACGACGAACTTGTGACCAAAATGACAAATTTTGGATACACTAGAATAATGATAACAGTAATTGATTCTAGCGAAAGCCGCTCGACATAACCTCTATCAAATCATTGGACGCAGGAGTAACATGTAACAACCTTCGACACAATACCTATATTTTCAAGTTCAATACTTCTTTTAGTTTGGACCATATAAAGTGAATGGCACTTTTCTACAAGCATGAACTACTGGAGTATAATTTCTCCAATTTCACAGTTTTTAGTTAGGTACATCAAACACTCGTTTGGCAATATTCAGTTCAACTGGTTGAGATTCTATGGTTGTTATTAGTAAATACAAAATATGTTTATATTTTAGCCAAAGCCTTGGTTTTGAAATCGCATTTGTTGACTGTAGGTACGTTATGGCTTCAAAACATCTTTTTTTTTCAACTGTTCAAACACACTTTCTGGTTATAGATTAATCTCGCTACCTGAATCTAGTTTGAAATTGATATTATGCCTTCCAATTTGAACATTTGAATACCAGGCTTTGGTTATTNNNNACAGTGCAAAAAATAAATAAATATTCATATGTATGCTCTAAACATGAAATGAATAGTGAATTTTTCATAGTTAATTACCATTGATTAGAATGAGATATAACCTCAATAGTTTATTAAATTATATTCATTACATTTAATTAAATTTATTTCATTACCATCTATATTCGATTCATATTTCACTCGGAAATAAGTCTGAAATTCATAATTATTTTAAATATCTTTTATTACAGTTTGAATCTACCGCTACCCGTTTACTAGAGTATGTATACTAACATGTCTATTATTTCACTTTTTTTCCAGTTACTTTTAAATTACGGCATGCAAGCCAACGTTTTAATGTTACAACACTGTTATCCTTCACAGTCGCAAATTTTAGTTTTGCTCCAGGAACATTTTCTTCTGTTAAAAATATTCTTTTTTAATTGTACTGTACCATATGTTTATAAGAGGATTAGGAAGTGTTTGTCCCTACCGAACTACTAGCGCTGCTAGTGAGTGATTTTTCGTACTTCAGGAAAAAGGTTCATTGTCAGGTTCTTCTTGGGTACACGATTATTATTCAAAAAAACAGCGAAAAGTTGGGAATTTCGTGAATTTCGGGCCGTGAAGATAGAGAAAATAATAGTAGAAAACAATAATCACAATATTATTCATTGTATTTCATTTGTATTAAATATTCCTACACATGGTGGATATGGTGAAAGACCAAGGACCTTGGTCCAAAGTAGAATAATTTCCATTATTATTTTTATAATTACCAAAATGTATTTTTGTTTGTGCATACTCTATCGGGCATAAGCATTCAGCCAATCTTTGGATAGCTAAGTAAGGAAATTAATATATTATAGTCACTTAGTGAATCTAGTTTGAAATTGATAGTATGTCTTTCAGTTTGAACGTCTGAAATCCAGGCATTGGTTACTTCATTGATTACAATAACGGAAACTAAAAATTCATCATTGGAATCCTTGATTTCAATTTCTTTGATTTTCTTCCAATTAGTCGTCTGATTATGATTCAGAAAACAATTCTCAAAATGATTTTTATCTCTACAATATAATTGCAGAATTTTCCAAATGCAGGTCAGCTTCTGAAACTATGATTCCTGTTACATTTTGAACAATTATTTGTTTTATACCATTTGTACTTATATTCATGGGCTGTATTACAATAATTCGATGAATTCACAGCCATCAACAGTCATTAGTTTTTCTTGTTGTCCGGATTTGTTCTACCTTTGGCAAATCATGCAAAACCCGGGCCTGTTCTTCACAAGCTCCTGTATTACCCAGAAGTAGGTATATTGCTTCTGACAATAAAATGTCATTTATCTTCAATAAAATCTTTTGCGTCTTTTTGTCGAAAATTCCACTAACAATACTGTCCCTGTTCAGCAAGAAAGATTCAAACGACTGAACTTCATGTTGCTGAACTGCAAAAAAATTAATCTTTCAATGAGCATTTTTCGTGAGAATAGTACAGCAAATGTGTCACGAGAGGCAACACTAGTAGTAGGGACAAACAATAAACTATTCACATGTAAAACAGTGTTATTTACGTAATATTAATTCATTATTTAAAAATATAAATCTGATATAGAAAATTATTTTATGCTAGTATAATGCCAACAAAGCATTGCTGTTTTGCGAATTGTATGTCGGATAATCGATATCTGGAAGAAAACATGTTTTTATACCATTTATAAAACCTCATAATAATGAGGTTAGATGTAAGAAATGGATACATGCTTCGAGGAGAGTGAATTTAACAGTGCAAAAAATAAATAAATATTCATATGTATGCTCTAAACATGAAATGAATAGTGAATTTTTCATAGTTAATTACCATTGATTAGAATGAGATATAACCTCAATCGTTTATTAAATTATATTCATT